ATTATGAAAATATCAAACTTTTAATGAAATAATATTTAATTGTGTAATAGAAAGACCAAAAATTACATTATTTATATGTAATATAGCTCTTTTACAGATTAAAGACGGTCATCCTATAACTTGAATACCCTTCTGATGGTATTCCATTCTGAAATTCATACAAATATTTTTCGTTGAGCATGAATATAATAATTGAAAGTTATGTCGAAGGCACCAAATATACTATGCAATCACATATATTTTATTTATTTTTTTATATACAAACGCATTCCTTATTTATTTTCAAAACCAGTAAATTCTCAATTCAATAAATGTGAATTAAGTCGAAGGACCAAATTTCCATCAACATATCATACTATGCGAATACAGATTTTTTTTATTATACACAAATAATTCCACCTTGTGTTCAAGCTCTGTAAATTACGAATTCAATGTATGAAATTTAAGTCGAAGGACCAAATTTGCTTCAACATCTCTTACAATGCGAATATAGATTTTTTTTATTTTTTTAAATTAAGATACAAATAAAAATCGAACTTTTAACTAAAGTTTTTAAAAGAAAATATACAAAATACCCTTTAAATTTTTTTCAAAAACTGTAAAATCTGAATTTCTTAATATATTTTGCATTTTTTCATAAACACTATAAATTCCGAATTCAGTGTAGGAGAATAAAGTCGAAGGACCAAATATGCTTCAACATATTTTGCATGGTGTTGTGCATATTTTTGTTATTCTGTTCATTTTTCGTTTTTGATGAAAATTATAGCACATGCAGCTCGCGCCCCCTACCAGTATTTTGATTAAACTTTATGAACTATCGTATGGTGCTCTCTCAGCTCCCATGACCTCTACAATGTGGCCACATATCGCAATCAATTGAATTTTATTTCAATGTCTTGGCTTAATTAGACAAAATATTTAGGGTTCCAAAGAAGACGAGAGCATGATGTCATACTGCAATTAAATTTTGTTTTTGGAAATATTTTATGTCTCCCATTAAAATCAATGTGGACAGGACACAATGAACCAAATTCTATCACATAAAAAAGGAGAGAAAGAATAATGAGTGTTGAGGAGGAAGGAAACATTGTTTAGTAACATGATATTTGTTTATGCACTGACTGACTGACATTAAAATAAAAGTTCAAACGCGCACCATATCATCATCAGCATCATTTTCGGATGTCATAAAATCAATGACACTTTTTTTTTGGGGAGAAATGTTTACATTGTCCAAATCAGCGAGGGCGTTTGCCGCTAGACGCTAATCAGTCATCCACTTGTTGTCAAGCCAAAAACAAATAATAACAATTTGATATCCAAAAAGCAGCCCTATGAATAAATGAGGGTGGGTACGATAGACAGCTAGCCATATAACACCTCATTATCATTACTTTTCTTTTGTGTTATCATTTCTTTTCGTACTACTCTACATGCCAAAATTATGTGCCTTTTGTTGTTCTGTTATTTTGTTGCTTCAAATTCAGAATCAAAGTCATTAACCCGTTTTAATAAAGCCAAATTATCTTGGCCTCGTAGATGGGCATATTATTGAACAATAGTTTCAAATTACAAAAATAAAAAAAAACAAACCATTGGTATGTGACAGGGCTGGAAATGTTAAATAGCATCGAAGGGCCAAAATGTCGTAAAGATTATCTAATTGTCAGCTCCCTTAGAAGAAAGAAAATGTCTCCTAGCTAAATATATATATATATATATATATATACTTCAATTTAATGTTTCCAATCGAAAAGCCAAATGAGAATTTCAAATCGAAGGACCAAAATGCCACTAACATCAAATTTAATATTTCCATTGAAGGACCAAATTAGAAAGTTTTACCCTATAGAAATGACGTCGAAGGATCAAAATGTCATTGATATAATATTTAATAATAATCTCGAAAGACATGTAAAGACATAACCTAAAAAAGCTCAGTTAAAATTTTCGAGCCTAGAGAAATGACATCGAAGGACCAAAATGTCATTGAAATAATATTAAATGGTACACTCAAAAGACGTTTAGATTGTGTCCTACAATTATAGATAGAATATGTTTAATTTCAATGTTTCCATTGAAGGGACAAATGAGAAATTATTCCACCTATAACTTTCAAGTCTAGAGAGATGACATCGGAGGACCAAAATTTCCCCAAACAAATATATTAATAATCTTATTGAAGAATTAAACTATAAAATGCCGAATTCACCCGACATTAAAGTTCATAATGGAATTCCAAAAAAATCGAAAAAATTGTACAGGAATTTTTTGAAAAGTATGTTTAATTCTTTGCTCCCAGCCCTGTCTTGTTTCTCTTTAAAAAGCTTTAATTTTAGCTAACATATGTTGCTTATTCTTCTTGTCGAAAATGGCAAAATAAGCATATGGCTTTTGTGGAGTCTTCAAAAATCATAGACACATTTGTGGAGACTTTTTAGTACTCTACAAAATTAACAGAACTGTTAGTGAAATATTTTCGCTTAACATTGGGGTGGTTCTGTTGAAAAAAGTTTATCCCCTGTAATAAAACTGCGCAGGTCCCCTCCCTTCATGGATAAAGGAGACATAAAACAAGATAGAGAGAGCGAGAGCGCGCAAATTATTATCCTTTGCCAAAATAGAAACCTTTTTATCTTTTGGAACAAACCGAGAAAGAGAGAGAGAGTATTTGGCGAGAGCCTTACACACAGCATCCCTTAAATGAAATCTGACATCAAGGGTCCATATTCATTGAATCTTTGCCAAAAACGAATGTCACGAAATAAATGCCGCTGTGTCAGATGAACTGGTCTATGAACCTTTTCAGTATTATTTGGGTGCGTTAAGCAAGAACATCGGATTATTTGAAAACGACAAAAAAGAAGTGATTTGAGTTTGGAGAAAATACAACAAAAACTATTAACATTTTGATTGTGGAATCTTAAAACAAGAAAAAAGTAATTGAAGTGAAATAAATATATACTGTGGTTTTGCAATTATTTATTTATAGAAAATAACAAACATAATAAAACTCAAAAAGAAATATTGATTTGAATCTTTTTTAAGAAAAAAAAAAACATATTTCATCCCCCTAAAGAAAAATGTGAAATTTGTATCCCCAATACAAAGAAAAAAGTTATAGAGTCATTACAAAATAAATTGTTTATTGAAACTAAAGTAAAATCACTTAATTCAAATAAAACTTTATTTTTGTAAACATTTTTATTTTCTTTTTTAAAAAATAATATTTTTGAAGTTTCCTCATAATTTTTAAAATTGTTTTTTTTTCTCCTCCGTATTTATTTTATATTTTCTGTATGTGGGCTTTTACTTTTTCCTGGCCTTATATTTTTCTCTTTGTTGGTATCTTTAAAAAAGAAAGATTTACTTTACTTGGTGGCTGCTGCTTGCAATTATCGCAGTCACTACTGGTGGTGCTGACTGCCTGCCTGTCAGCATTTCCACCAAAGGCAAGCGTGTCCCATTGTTTCCTCTTCTGTGTGCTATGCATTATCATTATGTCTTTGTGTACAAATAATATTTCAAAAGCAAATAAAAGAATGAAAATCAAACCTAAAAATCACTGCTGCTGCTACTACACTTGCCTAGCTAGCTATGCTCTGTTCTGCTGCATGCCTTGCCTCTCATCCATCCGTCAATGTCCCCTTGCTAAGGGTGGGTTTTTCTAAAACCACCACAAAAATATTGACTGTGCATACTAATGCTTGGAAAAAAATATCTAAAGAAACCAAACATTTTTTATCGATGTTTATACTAAAGCTTATGAACAAAACAAAAAATGAATGGACACAGACAGACGGACACAAGGGAGTAAAAAAAAAAAAACGGAAAAAATAAATCTGTGTCATATTTACCCTGGCAATGTGATTTTGTATTTCTTTGCAAAGGGCACGTATATACAGTAAAAAGAAATATTTGAATATTTTCATTAGCAGAAACAAATACTTCCACAGTAAAAAATAATTTTCCAAAATAGATTTGAGAAGTGATAAAAGACCTATGAAAAAAATTTCGAGGAATCTACAAATTTTCTTAATATTATAAAAATCATTTTTATTAATTACTTTGTTTCTTGTGACAATTTCATATATGATTACTCCTATTATACATTTTATTATTACTTTATATTCCCTGTGACCAAATCTCAAAAGAATAATTAATGTTATATTTTTCGTAAAACTGTCTTGAAAATATCACAAAAAATCCTTGTCTATCTGTTGTTCAAAATATAACAATGTAACGCCTAAAAGTATGCTTTGATTTTTTAAGAATTCCAAAGACAAGAACTTTGAATAAACCCAACACAAATTGTTTAATAGGGAATTTAATACAAAAAACAGTCCAATAAAATTATCGGTTATAACAAACACCATATACAGTTACTTGTAAGCGTATTTAATTAAATTGCTTGGATTCATGACCACTTAAAGGATAAAAAATCCACCTAAAAGGGAACAATAAACATAATAAAATATTAAATAAAGGATATTTCCCCTTGCCTTCAAATTACAAAAAAAAAAAAACATTTTGATAAACTTATATTTTAAAATATTTTAATTAAGTTGTTTTTATATTGTAAGTGTGTGTACACAACATCTGTTTTTTTAATGAGTCTACAAACATTTTTTCCACTTGTATTGCGTTTTTGATTTGATTTTTTACAACAAACAATAAACCAATATAATTTTCAATCTCTCCATATATATGTATATGTTGTTCTGACCCTCTTTGTGTTCATTTCTTACTTGTTTTTTTGCAGTGCCTTTTATTACTACTGTAAGGAGAAATAGAATACCATCGTCTGCCTTAGTATTATTCATTACAACACCACCAACAACACTTTTACAACAACCACCACCATTACCATCAGCCTCATCTATATACAACAACAACGAATTCCTAACAAAGGAAAATAAAAAACAAAGCCTAAAACAAGAAGAAAAACCAAATCAAAATCGGAAACCGAATCAGAAAATCAAAAACAGGCTAACAAACGACGAGAAAAGGAATAGAAGAGGAAGTAGCCGAAAGAAGAAGAAGAGGCAAAATGTCAACATTATCGTTACGTATACAATTGGAGGGTGGACGTGTAACGAAAACCATACAATTCCATCCCAATACCACAGTATTCGATGCCTGCAAAATAATCCGAGATAAATTTGCTGAAGCTGTTCAGGGACAACGTAAGTAGCAAAAAGTGTAAACACACATACTTTTAAACCGCCTGCCACTAGCAAATAAGTTTGACCAAAAAAAAAGAAGAAATATATAAGAAAATAAATCAATATTTGTAGAATACTTCGATGAAAGGACAATAAAAGAGGAGAGGGAGAATAAGGAAAAAAGGAAGGAGGTTAAGGATGATGATAACAGTGATAATTGATTTTTTTATAATATTATCAGTCATCTTCCTCCTCCCCAAAATCTCCTTCCACTCGTTTACTCTCTAAACACCCACCCACCACACACACACAATAACTAACTTGTCCTTTTTTCACTTCCAGCTAGCGAATATGGACTCTTCATTTCGGATGAACAAAATCAACAGGGTGTATGGTTGGAAAATGGCCGTACACTCGGCTATTATATACTACACAATCAGGATACCCTGGAATATCGACGAAAATTACGTACACTACGTGTTCGCATGTTAGATGGTGCTGTTAAAACCATTCTGGTTGATGACTCGCAACCCGTTTCACAACTAATGGTTGTAATATGTACAAAAATCGGTATTACCAATCATGAGGAATATGGTCTGGTACGTGAGGATAATGAATCGCAAAATGAAAATTATCCCGATAATAAATTTGGAACATTGACGTTGCGCCGTAAGTTTACGGAAAAAGATAGGGATGCTAAAATGGAAAGTTTGCGAAAGAAATTAAAAACTGATGACAGTAAGTGTTGCAAGAGAGAAATATTAATGATGAAATTATTTATTAATTTGTGATCTTTCATAAATTCCAGTTAACTGGGTTGATGTTGGCAAAACCTTGCGTGAGCAGGGTATCGATGAATCGGAAACCGTTTTGCTGAGACGTCGTTTCTTTTTCTCCGATCAGAACATTGATTCTCGTGATCCTGTACAATTGAATTTGCTGTATGTACAGGCTCGGGATACTATTTTGGATGGCACACATCCTGTCACTCAGGAGAAGGGTAAGTCCAACTTAATTGTTTCTTTGTGGGAAGAGAGTTATTAATTCTTTCTGAAATTTATAGCTTGTGAATTTGCTGGCATACAGGTCCACATACAATTTGGACCCCATAACGAAGCTAAACATAAACCTGGATTTTTAGAGTAAGTATGAGTACACAATTTTAAAGGCAAAATCCCATTAATTTCATTTCCCCTTCTTCCCCAAAACAGCTTAAAGGACTTTCTACCACAATCATATGTACGCGTTAAAAATATCGAAAAGAAAATTTTTGCCGAACATAAGAAACATGTTGATCTCTCTGAAATTGATGCCAAGGTTTTGTACACGAAAACGGCACGTGAATTGCCCACCTATGGTGTTACCTTCTTTTTGGTGAAAGAAAAAATGAATGGTAAAAATAAATTGGTGCCACGTCTATTGGGTGTAACCAAGGACTCGGTATTGCGTCTCGATGAACGCACCAAAGAAATTTTGGTATCATGGCCATTGACCACTGTTCGTCGTTGGGGTGCATCACCGAATACATTCACTTTAGATTTTGGCGATTATGCCAATCAATATTATTCGGTACAAACCACAGAAGCTGAACAAATTGTTCAGCTGATAGCCGGTTATATTGATATAATTTTGAAAAAGAAACAAACCAAGGATCATTTCGGCATTGAGGGTGATGAGGGATCAACAATGGTTGAAGAATCTGTGGCACCGTTTAAGTGAGTATTATTTTTTTTCGGAAAAAATCTTGTTTAGTTTTCTTCGAATACTTCAACTGAATTTGTGTTTTGTTTTTTGTTCATATTTTACAGAGCTACGTTTTTGCAACATGAAACGAATAAAATCGGCAAGATTAACACAGAATCGTTGGCTCATCCGGGTATGATGAGGGCTGATGACGGTAAGTAACTTTTACAATGTTTATTTTATTTTCTTCCCTTAATGAATATCTGCAATATTTGCCTCTATATAATGTTTGTAAAATTCCAAATTTGAGGCAAATATTTAAAGTTAAAGCCAAAGCTTTTTTGTATTTGTGCTTATTTAAGTAACTATTTTTTTAATTTTGGAATACAATCTGATAATTTCCTAAATGAATTATGCTAAGGTTTCCTAGAGTTGTCTATAATACATTAATTTTTATTTTTTGTAAAATATATTTAAACATATTAGAAACTTTGGTAGAAAGAGTTATAATTTAATCTATTTCAATTTTGATTTCTATTGTTTTTATTAAATTTATTTATTAATTATGTTTATGTAAATATCTTTAGGCGAAAAATCATACACCCAAGGCGAATTACAAACTGTACAATATGGCGCCTTTGTTGGGCAAGTTAATCATGCCCATCAACCACCCACGGTAAGTTGGCACCAATGCTTTAAATTTTATTATTTACAAAGTTTTTTTTTAACATTTGAAACATTCAATTTTCTGTTGCATAAACGCATTGCAAAAATCCATATTCGTCATGCACCATATTGAAAAATAGCACATTGTTCCAATATTATTTATGACAAACTTTAAATTTTCAAATTTACAAAAAAATATTTTTTTCTTTCTCTTAATAATTAAATGCTGCTATTTGCTAACCAAAAATGATAAAAATAGACAAATTTTCAAAGTTTCACAAAGTAGGTTTTCCATAAAAAATAATTTTGTATGTGATGGAAATCAAACTGCCGGGGCAATATATTCAACAGATAAATAATTTTAATAGTTCTTTGACCACTTTGTATGGCCTTCTATAATTTGAAAGGCTTCATTAGGGCATTCTAGAGACCTTCTGTAGAAATATTTATAATTTTTGATGTCTCCGATTAATAAAATATAACCCTATACATTGGACATATCCGAAGGCCGCAATAAAAACAATTCGAAATGATTTGGTTTCCATTACATAGTTGATAAACTTAAATTTACAAGTTTAAATTAATAACTATTTCTAATAATATTTATTTTTTTCCCCATCTAGTCTAAGGAAGTGCGTATTAGTTCTGTGAATCTTACTGAGCCCCAACGAGCCTTATTGGGTTATATATCAGCTGGTCAAGAGATCTTATCTCGTGCCGATGAAGAGCTTAGGACCAAGGTAATTTTTTAAAAACAATTTTACATTTACAAGAATTTCTCATTGATAAATATTCACATCCGCTCCTCCTTTCATATAGGCTCCCATTCAAGAATTGGGCAATGATATGCGTTCCATTGAATGGCGTGAAAATACCTTGGATACATCGAAACAAGCTGTTACTAGTCATGTGGCAACAATGAGTGCTGCCACTGCGCAAATTATCACCGCCACCCAACCCGACGAAGTCGATACGGAAGCCATTTCGGCATCGGTATCACAAATTGCCCAGACAATACCACAGGTTACCAAGGAAGTTCGTTTAATTGCCGCCCTTATGGAAGATGACAGCAGTGGTGACCGTTTGCTGGAAGCTGCCCGTAATCTATGTTCCGTTTTCAGTGAATTGCTGAAAGCTGCCGAACCCGAGAGTAAAGAACCACCACAAAATCTCATTAATGCTGCCAGTCGTGTCGGTGATGCCACAACTTATGTCCTTAGCACAATTGCCGAAGAAGATGTACCCGAAAATAAAGATCTACAAGACATGCTATTGTCATTGGCCAAGGCTGTGGCCAATACCACCGCAGCTTTGGTTTTGAGAGCTAAATCCATTGCTGCCAGTTGTGATGATGTTGAATCTCGTAATCGTGTCATTGGCGCTGCCAGTCAATGTGCCCTGGCCACCAGTCAATTGGTGGCATGTGCCAAAGTTGTTGCTCCCACTCTACACAATGCTGCTTGTCGTGAACAGTTGGAGGGTGCAGCACGTAATGTTGCCCGTGCTGTCAATAGCCTTTGCGAAGTGTGCAATGAAGCCACCAATGATCCACAACTGAAGAATGATTTGTTGGCTGCAGCCCGTGACGTCTCCAAGAGTCTTAGCGATATGTTGGAGCATGTCAAACTCAGCTCCCGCGAATATGCCAATCGCTCTAGCCAAGAAATGAGTCCAGTGGAAAATGTCATTATCAGCACTGATATTTTGGTAGCTTCGCATGATCCTCAGGAAATGGTACGCCATGCCAAGACACTGGGTCAAGCCACTGCCCAACTGATACAAAGTATTAAGGGCGAAGCCGATCAACAACAAGATGCTGATGTCCAAAGACGTTTGCTATCCGCTGCCAAACAATTGGCTGATGCCACTGCTAAATTGGTAGAGGCTGCTCGTCTTTGCTCCAGCCATCCTCATGATACCGAGAACCAAAATGCTTTACGCAAGGCTGCCGAGGAGTTGCGTGAAATCACCACCACCACAGCCAATACTCCAGCTATTAAACGTAATCTAATCAGACGTTTGGAATACTGTTCCAAACAAGCAGCCTCAGCGGCCACTCAATGTATCTCGGCTGCGCAAAATGCTGTACAACACAGCGATGACCACCAGACCAAGGAATCTTTGTTGCAGGATTGTAAACGTGCCGCCGATACTATACCTCGTTTGGTCACCGCTGTCAAAACCACACGTAGCAGTCCTGATGATTACAACGCCCAATTTAATTTGATTGAAGCCGCAGAACAATTTATTGAACCTGCAATTCAGGTGTCACGTTCGGCTCGTGCCTTACAACCAACTGTAACAGATATACCAGCTGCTACCCAACTGTCGAAGAGCGCCTTGTATTTAGGACAAACTGTTTCGGAATTGAATTCAGCTGCCCAGAGGGCTCGTGAAGCTTGTGGTGGCCAGGAACTGCAGTCAGCTTTGGAAGCTGTGCGTAATTTACACAATGTCCTTGATGATACACGCAATGCTGCCCAATCGGGCTCTTTGAGACCCCTGCCCGGTGAGAATGTGGAAAATACCGCACAACAATTGCGTGTTTCGACTAAGAATGTTGGCATTGCCTTGAGCCGTCTAATATCCTCGGTGTTGCAAGGACAACGTATGTATGCTGGCATTGCTGGTCGTGATACCGCTTTGGCATTGGGTGATTTCACCAAGAGTGTCCACGGAGTGGCTGCCACTACCAATAATGCTGCCGTTATTGATTGTGCCGACGAGGTAGTTTTAAGTTCGGCTCGTCTTATTGAGGAAGCCCAGAAGACTTTGCAGAATATGGGAGATCCAACTGCTCTAACTCAGGCTGGTCGCGACGTCACCGAAGCTCTCTCCAAGACCATTGAATGTATTCCCGGTCAACGTGAAGTAGATCAAGCCTTGCGCAACGTCAGTGAATTAAGCGAGATCCTTTCGATGAGTGAATTCCCTCCTTCGAATCGTAGCTACAATACCTTGCAAAACGAGCTGAAACAAGTATCGGAAAGTTTAAGCAATGCTGGTGGCCAGATTGTCCAAGCCTATGACAGTCCCGCAAAATTGGCTGAGACTAGTAATAACTTTGCTGCCAATTATCGTGATTTACTTTCGGTTTCCATGGAAATGGCTGGGCAAAATCCCGAAGAGGTTGTACGCTCCGAAATGATTGATTGTTTGCGTAATGTTTCCACCCAATCCTGTTCGTTGTTGTCAACTGCCAAGTCCATTGCAGGCGATCCAGGACAACCCAATGCCAAGAATTTGTTACATGCTGCAGCACGTAGTGTCACGGAAAGCATCAACAAGTTAGTCGATGCCAGCATCCAGTCGGCTCCAGGACAAAAGGAATGTGACAATGCCACTCGTAACATTGAAGCTTTGCGTGTCATGTTGGACTATCCTCATGAACCTGTTAACGATCAAGGTTATTTCGATTGTGTTGAGGCTGCCACTGCCAAGTCACGCAATCTGGGCTATGCTTTCTCTGAAATGATTAACAATGCCAAGCAATCGAATCATGCTGAATTTGCCAAATCTGTGAACAATGTTTCCGAGTCCATAAGAGGTTTAATTGAGTCATCGGCCCAAGCTGCCTACTTAATTGGTGTTTCACATCCCAGCAGTACAGCTGGTCGTCCGGGTATTATTGATTCTGCTCAATTGACCTGGGCCTATCAAGGCATCCGTCAACACTGCGATGTGGTTAGCAGTCCCCAATCATCGAAACCACAAAAGATTTCCGCCTTGACTGTTATTGCTAAACACACCAGCTATTTGTGTTCGATTTGCCGCCAGGCTAGCATGAATACCAACAACCCAACAGCCAAAAATGAATTTATTGTTTTGGCCAAGCAAGTGGCCACCGCTACCTCTAATCTGGTACAGGAAATCAAGGCCATTGAAGATGATCCATCACAACCATCATCGGGTGCTCGTTTGGTAGAACCTCTCTTGGAATCCGTTAAAGCTGTACGTCAATATGCTTCTAGTCCTGAATTTATTTCGGTTCCAGCCAAAATTTCAGCTGAGGGCAGGAAGGCCCAGGATCCTGTTTTAAATGCAGGTCGTGGAGTGATTGATGGTGTCATTGAAATGGTCCAAGCTGCTAAATCATTGGCTCTTTCACCTGACGATCCACCAGTGTGGCAAAAACTCTCCAATGCCTCCACTCCAGTGTCGGAATCTGTCAAACGTTTGGTGGATAACATTCGGGAAAAGGCACCTGGACAAGCCCAATGTGATCAGGTCTTGCAAACATTGGGTACATGTATGCGTGAATTAGATAGTTGTGCCATGGCCGTTAATGCCCAGGGTCTGTCACAAAGGCGTGACAACAATTTACATGGCTTCTCCGGGCAGACACTTAACTCTGCAGCGGAATTAATGGATAAATTGGAACCCATACGATTGGCTGGTAAAAATAATGCTGAACAACTGGGACATGCTGTGGGTGAGATTTCCCGTTATGTTGTACCCATGGTAAATGGTTCAATTGGTGCCTGTACCCATATTGTCCACACTAATCAACAAATGAGTTTGATAAATCAAACTAAGTCGGTGGTGGAAAGTGCCCAACAACTGGTGCAAGCTGCCAAGGAATCAGCCGGCAATCCAAGGGCCACACATGCCCACCCTAAACTGGATGAGGCCATTGAAAATACCCGTGAAGCTACACAGGAATTGACACAGACAGTGGAGAAAATCAATGCCGAAACTGGAGTTGTAACGGGTCTCATTGAACAAGTTAATCGTGCTATTACCCGTCTGACAGATAAACGTCAATCTCTAATGAATGCTTCCTTCTCTGACTCCTTTGTGGACTATCAAACACGAATGGTACAGACAGCCAAGGAAATTGCCCGTTTGGCCAATGAAACCAATGCCAAATCGGCCATTGAACCACAACTTATGCCTCAGCTGGCTATGGAAATGGCAAAACAATATGGACAGTTGACCCAAGATTCTGTGGGAGCTTCGGCCACCACTACTTCCCCCGATGTGGCTATGCGTATACGTAATACGGTAATTGATTTGGGACGTTCCGTGTGTTCAATGATTAAGACAAGTGCGACGGGAGCAAGACCCGATGATACTGTACATCAAAATGAAATTTCACGTAATGCCAGGGAGGTGTGCGAAAAGGTGGCACAAATTTTGGCCGCCTTGCAGGCCGGCTCCCGTGGCACTCAGGCTTGTATTAATGCCGCCCATACCATTTCGGGTATTATTGGTGATTTGGATACAACGATAATGTTTGCCACTGCTGGCACCTTGCATTCCGATCGTGACAGCAGTTTTGCTGATCATCGTGAACATATTTTGCAAACGGCCAAGGCTTTGGTGGAAGACACTAAGGTTTTGGTAACTGGAGCGGCTGGTACTCAGGATCAATTGGCTAATGCAGCACAAAATGCTGTTACCACAATTGGTAAGTTGTTGTGGAAGAAGAGATTTTAAGAGTTCAAGTAGGGAAATAACGTATGTTGTTGTTTTTTCTTTTGTTTCTAGTGCAATTGGCTGAAGCTGTTAAATTGGGTGCCTGTTCCTTGGGCTCTTCCCAACCCGATTCCCAAGTCATGGTCATCAATGCCGTTAAAGATGTCGCCTCGGCTTTGGGTGATCTGATCAATGCCACTAAATTGGCTTCGGGTAAACCCATTAATGATCCTTCAATGCAAGATTTGAAAGAAAGTGCTAGGGTAAGTTGCATATTTTCGTTTTGATATTTCTTCCTTCCTCCTTTTTCCGTCTCTTTCTATCTTACACTTTTAATATTTCTATTTGTAGAAAAAGAGGGAATTAAAACAAATATCCCTTCTTTTTCTGAAAAAACAAACCCCCTACCATACAACAACAAAACAAGCTTAACAAACTACTTAAGTGTGTAACGCTTTAAATGTCGTGATTTTTTTTAAATACCCATGTTAAACTAATTACATGGTGTCCGTACAAAGTTCTATGTGAGAGCATTCAAACTAATTAAACTTAAAATGTGAGCTTAACTCGAAAAACAAAACAATTTAACTATTTTTATGTTTAACACCCTTTGCCAAACACCCACTGAGAGAGAACCTCCATAAAAACGAAACTCAAATCGAAATCGAAGTCGAGATGAAGTTAATACCGTACAATGCATAAAATAAAAAAGTGTTATCTTTTTTTATATAATTTTCGGAGCGTATCCACTCAAAATATGAGATTATATCTTTGAAAATAATTTGAATGTTCTACTAATTGTTTGTGTGACACCATGTAACTACAATCACTCCCAAGATTTTTAATGGATAGAATTTTTAAATGATTTTATACACTCACAAGCGTTCCCCCTCCCTCCACACTTTTTTTAAATCTCTTTAGGTATCCATTTTGTATGTTCTAAATATGTCTTCATCATCATTCTGTAAAAAAAAAAAAACATAATATCAAAAATATCATCCACACAGTACAACGTCCTCTGTGAGAGGTATCTGTTTTATGTTGCACTGTGTTATCTCTTCTCATGCAAAAATCACTGCACGATTCTCTTTGAATGTATGTATGTTTGTCTATGTCATTATGTAACTAAATTTTTTCTGCAATTACTTTTAAAAAGGTTTAGGTTAGGTCTACTTTTTTGTTGAGGTTATGTGGATATCATCTAACTCAATTGTGGCTATATGATCTACTAAGGCTAAAAGGATAATGCTATTCCTCTCTAAATACAGATGGCTATATATGTTTCTCTATCTACACATGGCAAAAAAACACCCACATATTTTTTTTTATATATTCTGCTATTGCTGCTGGTGCGCTGCTGCTTATGTTTCTTGTACTTCAATCTTGCTCTTTGCCACCAAAACAAAAATGCACATGCAATTCTGTTTTTTGATTATTTTTTTTTCAAATTTTGAAAACCACAACAAATTGTAATGTGTTAATTAAAACAAATGTTTTTGTTCTTTTTTTATTGTTTTCATTATTCTCATTTCAAAACAAAATCGAAACGAAAATAGATGCTTAAAGAATTGTGCAATACTGCCGCTAAATCGAAACTAACCACATAAGTCAGCAAACAAATCATCATCAGACAAAAAAGGATATTTTTGAGCTACCGTGCCTACTTCTTTGTTTTCTTCCACATTCATTTTCTTCATACATATATGTGTGTGTGCGCGTGTTTTTTCTTTACTCTGTGTGCCGTTCTTTTCAGCGATCAACAATATTATCACGAACGAAACATCACTTGTTTTACGAAACGCCTGGCTTAAAGTGCAAAAGATGTTATTTATCAAAAAATTGAAAATGAATATCAATTGGTTTCTTCTTTCCAAAACAACTTTGGACCAGGCGTTATAAATCTTAAAAATAATTATTCATAGTCATTCATATGCCATGTTTATCATTAGTTGTAGGTTTATACATATCGTATTGTATGTTTATGCTTGTCAGATTTCCATTATATATTATTTTTGTATTTGGTATTTTTTTTTTAATATTGACGACTAGTCGTAATTCGAAAAAGTAAGTTTTTGAATCTAAAAAAAAAATGTTCTCTTCAGATTTCAAATTAATAAACTAATTAAATGTATATATGATGTTGATGTTATTTAAGAAAAAATCCGTTTAGAGTATATTATCAAAACATCGTTTGTGAAAAAGGGGTTCAATATCCTTAATTCTTAATTTTGTATTGCCACAGCCAGGGATCTACATCTGATAAACAAAGAATTTATCAAAGAAATGAGCAAATTTTATGCTCATGCTATGAATTTCATGCAGTTTCATATCAAAGGTCCACCAATTGTGCTACGTCTGTCCAATCAACAGGATATTGTAAACATACAACCAAAATCATTTGAGTGGAATCTCTCTCATCTCATTGTGTCACTAATGATGAACATATTACCTCATAATATTTGAAACAGTTAAATCTCCATTATTAACACAACATTCCGCAAGACCCAGTTGTAATTTACTTAATTCACAATATCGATCTACCTAGAAATTCAAATCCATTGTCTTGGTCTCCATATTGGATAGACTTTAAAAGTTATTCTTCAAAATTTATTTAGACCAAAATGTCTTCAAAGTATGAATTCCCTGCTAGAAATAGATAAACTTTGACTGACTTTAATAAAGTATGAAATCGATAGACAAAAAAATAAACGCGGCGTTACACCAAAAAAAGTAGTTATTGTTATAGCTTCTTTTGCGTGTGTGTGAAAAAAAGTAGTAGTTTTCATACTATCCGATCCGATCCTACTCCTACAAATCTCCAACCCCTCCTTTTCAACTTTGAACATAAAAAGTTTATCCTCTAATGGTGTTTCAATGAAATTGCGCACAAACAAATTAGGTTATGGTTTTGAATGTATCATCATTGCTGAAAACTGTTAAAGCTGTGGAAGATGAACATACACGTGGTACCCGAGCTATGGAATCTGCTGTTGAAGCTATTGCCCAAGAGATTAGGGTAAGTTTGTCTTTTAAATACACAATCTAAAATAATTTAAATCAATCTCTATTGTATTATCATTAATTTAGGCCATGCATTCACCACCCCCGGCCAGTAATAGCAATGTCAATCCCGAAGATTTAATACGTGTCACAAAGAATGTTACCCTGGCCACATCGAAAGCCGTGGCATCTGGTGCCTCCAATTTGCAAGAAGATATTATGAATGCTGCCAATACGGGTCGCCGTTCTATATCGGAAATGTTATTGGTATGCCGCAGTGTGGCATGGAATTGTGCCGAAAATGAAGATTTACGTCAACGTACATTGGAAGCTGGTGCTGCTGTGGGCGAGGCATATCGTGAATTATTAACGGGTATCTTACACAACTGTTCGGCCGATGATCGTATGCATTTATCACGTCGTGTTGCCAAGTGTGTTACCGATTTGGTGGCCATGGCAGGTCTACTCAAGGGCAGTGATTGGGTTGATCCTGAAGATCCAACCGTTATTGCCGAAAATGAGTTGTTAGGTGCTGCCGCATCTATTGATGCAGCTGCCAAGAAATTGGCTTCGTTGAGACCAAGACGTAATGATGATGTTAAGGTGAGTTTTTTTTTTTTTAATTTTTTGTTTAATTTATAAAATGGTTTTGGTTTTTAGTTTTAAGAGTGTTGTCTTGAAAGTGCTTTTGTGGAATGTGTTTTATCTTAGTCTGTAAGAAAACAAATGGTGGGGTTAAGGGGTGTCTAGTATGAAGCCACTTTGTAAAAAAGAACGGCAAACTCCCTGACCACCACCCATAACATAATCAAACTAACATAACTAATGTTTAAATTAAATGCTTTTTTGGTGATGGTTAAAAGTTAATAATAATGGTGCGTCAAAATATTAAGAATATTCAATTAATAAAAATAGAAATTGGGTTATATAAAATATTGATTATTATATAGCGCAGAATTTTGCCTGATATTTATGTATTCAATTCAAAATCAATGTAAAGGGATATAAATCTGCCGGCTAAAATTGTATGATTTCTAGTGAAGCTGAGCTTAATTAAAAATATATTGCAATTTAAATCCAAGCAACAAAATTCCATACTAAATTAAAAACCCAATTTTTGTAAATATAATCCATAAATATAAGTGTGTGTGCGTCTTCCCCAAATTGCTTTATTGATTATATTGTTAACCCAAATATAAAACTTAACATATGGCCTTGTGGGAAACCAAAAAAAATCATGTTAATTCCAGTAAGATATGTTTGATATTCTTGGTTGTTGCATTTATAAAGTACACCCAGGAATCAAACATATTATTATTGTGATTCAACATTAGAACAACTAACAAATCTATGTGCAAATCAAATTCATTCTAACAATAATAACAACAACAAACATTCATCCTTCGAAACAAAAAGTGTCCTGCAAAACACATAAATGGTGACAGTGGTGGTGCTTTAGTTTTTAAGTCATCTAATCTACTAAACTTAAGCATTTTGTTTCATTTTCCTTTTCATCTAACTAATTTATGTACTTTTTTGTTTATATCTTACCTCAATTTACATAGATCGAACTTGATGAAAACATGAAATTCGATGAAATGATTTTGGAAGCTGCCAAGGGTATTATGGCTGCCTCATCGGCCTTGGTACGTGCTGCCAATGCTGCCCAACGTGAACTGATTGATCAGGGTAAGGTGGCCTATCGCCCCCTAACCAATTCCGATGACGGTCAATGGTCGGAGGGTTTGATATCGGCCGCCCGTCTTGTTGCTGCTGCGACCCATAGTTTAGTGGAGGCTGCACAAAATCTTGTCCGTGGTAATGGCACCGAAGAAATGTTGATTTCCACCGCCAAACAAGTGGCTGCCTCTACCGCCCAACTGCTGATTGCCTGTAAAGTGAAATCAAATCCAAATTCAGAGGCTGGTAGACGTTTACAGGCTGCCGGTAATGCAGTAATCAAATCCACAGACAATTTGGTGCGAGCCGCCCAACAAGGCTTGAGAGATGAAGAGGAACGTACCCTCACTATTAACACATCCATGGTTGATGGTATGGCTCAGGAAATTAATGCCCGTTCGGATGTTTTGCGTATGGAAAAACAATTGGAAGAGGCCAGACAAAAACTTGTACTCATTCGTACGGCACGCAACAGGGCAAAGAATGCCCAAGGCTTCACCACCGATGAAAGTGATTCGGAATATGCTCAATCGACCTATGGCACATTGAACAGGAGTCAAAATAATGTATGAATTATTTTTAATAATATTTAAATTTTTCTTTTTCGTTTTTTTTTCCATTTCCATTCATTTCCTTTTTTTCATTTAACTATATTTTGTTTTTAATTTATATATTCGTTTAGTTCTAAATATTTTCATTTCACAGACAGAGATACACACACAGATTTTTTCTGTTGGTGATTTACAATTTTTCGATTGTGGAAAGACAACAACATTATAAATAAGAATTTGTTTTTGTAATTTGTATTTAACAAACTTGTTTTTTAAATTATATTTTTTAGTCAATTTAATATAATTAACTAATTTGCAATTAAAGTAACAATTTAAATAACCTGACACTACTTAACATTCCCAAATACGAAATTGATTTCTCTGAATAATTAATTTATAAATAATTTTAAATTTAATACTACAATAGTCTAATGAAAACATTGCACAAAGACATACAATTACACATACCTAAAATGTATGTTGAAATGGTCCCAATTTTGGAAATCTTTAAATTTTTCCAGTCCGAAGACAATCAATTTCAAAGTAAAAAATCTAATTAATTTGTATTTTTCTTAAAGAGATCAATGAGAATTGCTTTTGTCATTTATATGAAAATATTTTTTTCACCTAATGGAATTTCATATTTAAACTTCATGATACGAATATTTCAATTCATATTGCTTTTCGCTACATATTTTGAATATTTCTTATATTTCCTTAGTGTTATATTCGAATATTTTTCAATATTATTAGAACATCATTAAGCCCTTCGGCTGATGGCGTTTCGGCTCTTCCCTATAGCTTCCAAAAAAGTACCATTTAAGCCATCTAATACAAAAAACGCTAAATTTTTAATTCAGTCCTTTTTCATGTTCTCCCAAGAAATTCAATGCCTCAATAGAAATTTATTTAATTTAATTAATTTCCAATATGCAATGATGTGTTGAACCGACATTTTTTCTAAACGCATTTTAAATCTGTTTTTTTTTATTTATTTATTTTTTACACCTATTTTTGTTTTGTTTTTAAAATATTTTTTTCTTTACTCATGGTGTTTTGTAAAATAACCACCCCCAAAACGGGAAACTAACCTCTTAATGTTGTATTCATCTTTTTTTGTCTTAGACTCTTACACGTTCACCGGCGGCTGGTGCTTATGGTGGTAGCGGTGGTAGTCACATGGAACCACCAGCCTCACCTGGTTATATGACTTACCAACAACAACAGCAACAGACTAAACATCATTACAATTATGCCAATAATCCACAGCACTTCCATCATCCAGGTGCTGTATCTCCAACACCACCACCTCCACCACAACAACAACAGAATCACAATGACAATGATACGACAGCCTTTCCACCCCCACCTCCACCCCTATCGACAACCATTTCCCAAATGCAAACGGCCACACACACGTTTCGTTCAAATCCCAAACTAACAGCTAATGCTGTACCACGTCCCTACCCAGGTAGCCCCGTAACGACCACAAGTGGTACAAATGGTGGTGGTGGTGTTGTTGGCGGTGGTATTCGTTCTCATCCATCTAGTCCTCTAACACCCACTAACAATAGTAGTTATCAAGAAACCAATCAAATAAGATCTTCTACTACAACAAATTCCCAACAACAGCATACAGCAGCAGTGAATCGAAATTTGGAGGCATGTGTTCAGGATTTACACGATAAAACCTTTGGCCAGGGTGGTGTGGTGCAGATAACAAGTAACACCTCATACCCGGGACAAAATTATGAAGGTTATACATCAAGGTAAGTGGCAAAATGGTTTTTAATTTTTATGATATATTTTCGGAAGGTGTTGAAATGGTGAAAAACTTTTTTGAGCTTTTTGAGGGTAATAAAAAGGGGTAGATGTGTTCGAATGAACGGTTATCTAATGGAAAATTAAAAAGTTCCCCTTAAGTTTTTTTGTTTGAATATTTGCAGGTCTAACTAGTCTTTAATTATTTTTTTGTGTGGTAGTCCTTAAAAACAATTAAAAGATTTTAACCCAATAATTTGGAAGTTTTCTTTTAAGAACCCAACACTTTATATTTCATTAAAATAATTAATAGAATTTTTAGAAAAAGATAAAATAAAAGCGATTCAATACAACTAATGAAAAATCTTCGCTTTGTTAGTCGTATAAAAAATATTATTTATAAAAAAATCACTCTCTATTAGTCCTTAAAATATTCATTTATAAATACATGTCCTGGCTCTGTAGCTCCTTTATGAAAAAGACTCACCTTTGAACTCTGATATGATGCCTCAGCATCCCTTAAGCTCTTCTTTGAATAAAAATACCACAATTGATCTCTTCTATGAAAAATAACCATACTTTAGCTCTTATGATGAAGATCTCCCTTCAGCTCTTCTATGAAAAATACCTTCCTTTAGCTTATTTATGAAAAATACCCCATTCAAACCCTTACGAAGTTTACCACCTCTTCTAAAAGAAGTCCCCAAGTTGTTCAAATGTAATTTTTTGTTTCAAAAAAATAATTTCCATATCACATTATATTTATAATCAATTCCCTTATTTCATTTTCTTACAGATATGAAACCCGCAATTACGATAAAAACTCCGAAAGCACCGGTGTCAAACCTTTGGAATCCAGCTTTAGTCAAATGACATTGAATAGCGAATCTGGTAAAGTAAGCCTCATCGATCAGGGTTCCCAGCGGCTAACCTCAATGACACAACGGGTTATGGAACGTAAAACCTTCTCGCAAACGTCGGAGACAAGAACCGAAAAGAAAACCGAATCGCATAGTTTTCGTTTGGAAAAATAATAAACATTAACCTTACTACTACTACATACGAATGAAAAACAAAAAATACTATTTTATGAAATAATTTTGTTGATGGTATTAAAACGAAAAGAAAACATGAAAAACAATTGCCAAAAGTGCTTTTAAGTATAACAAATTAGTTTTTTAATAAGCTAACATTTTGTTTTTGGTATTAAAAATTAAGTATAAAATGCTACATACATGATAAAATAACTAAAAAAAATATTCATAGCTCTCAAAACGACAACAGAGCCAAAAATGCACATTGTAATGCCAATGTTTTTGCCAATAACACTTTGTTTGGAAACAAGAATTTTTGTACTAAAACGAAAAATAATAACGGATAAAATTTTTAATTATATTATACTATTAATAAAATTATTTACTAATTAATTAATAAATATAACTTACTACTCTGATTACTAACAATTTTCTAAACAAAACAAAAAACAATTCAATTTTAAAAAATATTAAAACTTTAAATATCGAAAAAATCTTTATAACATTACTATCTATATATAATAAATACTATACCATTATTGTTTTATTTATTAATATATTATATAACTACTATATTTCTTGTATGCATGCATATATGTTCTTATTTTAACTTTAAACAAATGATGTTTTGAATTTTAGAATATTTTGAATGTCGTCCTTGACATTTTTTCCATTATGATGAGCTTGACAACTCTGTCTCTTTATTCTTCTATAAATAATATTTTTATATAATGTTTCTGTATATATACAACATATTCTAAAAAATGATCATTATCCGATTTACTTCCGTCGTATATATGTATATGTGTATAAATACAAGAAAAATAAAAAAAACATTTTATATATAAATTAAAATTAATTAATATAATTAAATGTGTATGTGTATTTTTATGTCATTTTGTGTATAAAAAATAAAAATTATTAAAAAATTAATATATAGAACGTGTTTTTTTCTTAATTCTGAAATATTTAAATAGGCAGGGAGAGATTTTGTTTTTTTTTTCGTTTGAATGAAAACGACGACAAAACGGACAACTGGGGTTGGTGGCTGGCTGAGTGTGTTTTTCTGGTTTTGTGCGGTATTCTGCAAATTTTCTCCAAACACCAGGCGACCATAACGCGGCAGGAGGTATACTTTAGTGTTGAAAAATTAAAATCAAAGCATATTTTCAGGCATATAGAAAATCGGAAATAATTTTGCCTCCCTAAAGTATGCTTTGAAATTTGTATAATTTTAATAATTGGTAGGGATGCCAATGCATGACATTTTGTGTTCATTATAAAAAAAAATTGTAACATTGCCTCTGATTTATAAACAACTTTTTCTGTATTTAAATATGAAATAGAAACAAATATTTCACTGCGCAAAAAATTATAAATTTTATTAATTATGAAATTTACAATTTACTGTGTTCCAAACACATAATAATCACCAATGTTTAAAAATAGAAAATATATGTATATATTTATGTAAAAAATACAATTGTAATAAATGCATCATTTAAACTTAGTAACAAACATTAATTAAAAATATAAATGCAATCTGGTTCCATTAACACAAATATTGAGCTTCGCTTCCTCGATACTACGTTCAACTGTTTACTTATATTCCAAATTCAATTGACGACCAATTAGCCAACGACGAATTTCCGATGTACCAGCACCGATTTCGTATAGCTTAGCATCACGCATAATGCGGCCGGTAGGATATTCATTAATATAACCATTACCGCCCAAGGTTTGGATGGCTTCCAAAGCAACTTGGGTAGCTTTTTCGGCACAGTAGAGAATTACACCCGCACAATCCTTGGAGCTGTTATGACCAGCATCACAGGCACGAGCCACACTATACAAATACGAACGACAGGCACTCAAGGTGGTGTACATATCAGCCATTTTACCTTGCATCAATTGGAATTCGGCAATCAATTGACCCTTTTGTTTACGTTGATGGGCATAATCGAAGGCAACATCAACGGCGGCTTGCATCAGACCCACAGGACCAGCCGCCAAAACCAAACGTTCAAAGTCCAAACCAGACATCAGAACATACACACCCTTATTTTCCTTACCCAAAATATTCTTGGCAGGAACTTTGAGATTATCGAAGACCAATTCACAGGTGGGACTGCCACGCATACCCAATTTGTCAAGTTTTTGGGCAACACTGAAACCTTCCGAGGCAGTGTCAATAATGAAGGCGGTAATGCCATGTTTATCAGCTGGGCTGGTACCGGTTTTGGCATAAACAATCAAGGTATCAGCAATGGAACCGTTTGTAATCCAGAATTTGGTACCATTCAACACATAGTAGTCACCCTTGCGTTCGGCACGCAACTTCATGGAGACAACATCGGAGCCAGCACCAGGTTCAGACATGGCCAAACCTCCAATGTGTTCACCACTGCATAATTTGGGTAGATATTTCTCCTTTTGTTCAGGTGTGGCGTTTTTGGTCAATTGATTGATACACAAATTTGAATGGGCACCATAAGATAAGGCAACACCGCCAGCAGCACTGATAACATAAAATAAAAACAACAACATTAATCACTCGCATAAATTAATATACAATAGCAGCGCAGCAACATGGTGGGGTTGCTTACCGTGAAATTTCTTCCATGATAATACAATGATCCAAATAACTGCCACCGGTACCACCGAATTCAGGCTCGGCAGTTATACCCAAGAAACCCAAATCACCCATTTTCTTCCAGAAATTGCGAATATCACTAAAATAAATATTCCAAACACATATTTTTGTTAAAATAAAAAGAAACATGGCTAATTTGCATAATTAACAAACTTACGGGAAGTCATCATTCTTATCAATTTCTTTGGCAAAGGGGGCCAATTCTTTTTGGAAGAAATTGAAAGCAGTCTCACGCAACTTTTGTTTCTCCTCATCCAAACCAAAGATTTGATCATTTACTGGATAGTGAGTCAAACCTCTGCTTAGCATTGGGGTTTGTGTTTGGCTTTTGGCCAATTTTGCCAAGGAACGGGCAGCTAAACGTAGAGCCATTTTCTGATAAAAAATAAACTCCCTAATTAACAGGTGATTTGATCGGGTATGGAATCCAGACTGGTGCCTATTATCTAATACGTTGTGGAATATTTATTATCAGTAGCGGCGGGGTTGCCAACATTTTGATTTTTGACCTTATGTTTTCGACAAATGTTCATAGAAATTTTAATTTGATATTGATTTAATATATGTAATACATCTTTAAGTAATATAAAATATTTTTTATTTAATATTATTTATTTTTTTTTATCAAATTTTGATAATAAAACATAATTTATCAAATAGACTCTATAATTTGTTTCATTTTGTTGACATTTCAATTCAGTGTGAGATGGCAACAGGCGTATGACAACAACATGATCAGTGTTGCTGTGTTCAGTTGTTTTTCGCTCTCATCTCAGAGCGGCTGATTAACATATGTTTAAGATAACAGCTGTGTTCCGTGTGTAAATTAACAGTCAAGCAAAAAAGTATACATGTTATGACGGTTACATTTTTAACTAATAGCCTCGAGAACAGAGTAGATTTTTTAATCGTTTTTTTATCAGCAAATCATTTAAAATTTTAAAAAGTAGAAATTAATTATAATTTTATAGCGAGAACCATGAGATGGAATGCATATTAAATTTGACATTCCGTTTGAAACATATCGAAAATATCTTTATCAGAATATAATGATGAAGTTAGACTATCTTTAACCCTTTGAGCCCCGAATTTTTTTCCGTAATATTAAAAATATTTTTCGCACAGAATGTGAGTGCTTATGCTGTAACTAGAATCAATGCAAAAAATTAGGTTCAAATTAGCTTTAGTTTACGAGTTACATAATGTTGCCTGTGGGCAACATTGGGCCATTGTGGTTATAAAATGAACAACGTTTAATCTTCGAATAAGTTATTTATTTTTAATATTTAGGAATGAAAAGTTAAAAAACAGTTTCTATTGTTATTACAGCATAAATGTACGCCACATTTACTGCATGTAGTCATGGGAGTTGCAATCTTACATAATCTGCAACGTCCTTTTTCCCCATATACAACCCAATGATTTATACCATCAAACCGTGATGTGTTACTGGGATATGGTGTATACCTCCATTTTTTTGAACTTTTGTAACGGGGGGCGTTTGTTACTTCGATTCCAGCATAATTTGAAACCTGATTGTCAGCGACTTTCGAAGGCCGTCCTCTTTTTCGTGGAACATTTGATGCCGAAGCATTTGACGTTAATAATTCCTTTGCTATTTCCAGTTGAAAGTTTATTAATCTCATATGAGATCCCGTTTCGTTAGCTGTTACGAAATCTTTTCGATAAAGAAGCCACGCATTTGTGACACACGAACTCAAACACCAGTAAAATATGCGCATATACCACTTTCTAGAACGATGGTTCACTTTATACAGTTCTGCAAGCATATCGGCAAGGTCAACACCTCCCATGTACTTGTTGTAATCATGTACAATAGCTGGTCTTGGGATGTCAACATATTTTTTTTCTTTTCCACTCCAGCGTTTGCATAGTCCGACAGGTTCTGCTCCAATATATGAAGATGCCAACTGAACTTCTTTGTTGTCATACCAACGGACGCATACCAGACTGTGTTTTTTCTCACACTTTTCATTAAATGAACCTCTTCCCCTTCTCCGAAGTTCATCATCTGAAGTCAACTTACAGTTTCCTAAACGGTTCTTCCGTATGGTACCAACAGCCAGTATTCCGTTCTCTTTTAGAGCTATGAGAAGGCTTATAGATGTGAACCAATTGTCAAAATATAACTTAAAATTCTTTTGTTTTGGAAGCTTTTCTGTCAAGTACAAAACTATATCGGAAGATATCCCAAGTCCGTACGACGGACAGGTTCCATCACCTACATACATTGCAAAATCATATATTATCCCTGAAGACCCTGCGCGTGTAAACATTTTGAAGCCCCATTTATGAGGTTTGGCCGGATTGTACTGTTTATATACTGAACGACCTGTAAATATAATAGAATTTATGTATATGTTTATCTAATATAGAAGCATATTATCACCTTTATATGCAATGATTTGTTCGTCTATACATTGGTGTTCTTCTTGTCCTAAATTATTAAATTTAGTTCTAAAGCAGTCTAAAAGAGGGCGACATTTGTAAAGTTTATCATATTTTAGATCATTTTTGTTAAGTTGTTTGCTGTTGTCATTGAAATGCAAACACTCCTTGATTCGCTCAAATCGGCAACGTGGTAAAGATTCTCTTACATCAGTAAGATTTAGTCCATTGGACCACGCCATTTTTATTTGTGGTAATTTTATAACGCCTAAATATAGCAGAATTCCAATATAACGCTTGATTTCATGGTCACAACATTTAATTTCTACTCCGTGTTTTTGAAGGCCGAATAAATTAGTTTGATGTGTAATATGGGATATGATATCATTATCAAAAAAGTATGTGAAATATTCATAGGGAGTTTTTATTAATTCCACCGAAATGTCTTCCACAGATTTCCAGGTGGAGTTCGGCTTCCGATATGGTACTGATTTCCATTTTAAATCCCTTGTATTTGTCTTCACGTAGTTTATTTCATTAGGTTCATCCGTGTCAACATCAATATTTTCTTGCACATTTAACTCTACGGCTTCTTCTTCAGCCAGCAAATTATCTTCCAGTGCTTCATCCTCCTCATTACCACTTTCATCATCCGTTGAATCATCCCAATCAAACTGCATTACCTGCTGTATATCACCAACCGACAGTCCTTTTGATTGCGGTTTCATCACTAAAAAAAAATATATTACCACAATGGCCCGAAGTTGCTCACAAGCAACATTAAATTTAAAAAATTATAAAACTTTACCTAAACTTTTTATTTTTCCAAAATTATTTTCTGTGGTATTTTTATAATGCGTAAAGATGTTTTTTAAACGAACACTAAGTTGATTTACTTATTTTGTTTAATTTTATAATTAATTTTATTACACCACGAATATTTTCAGAGCACACTTTTTCATCGAACCACGTGATTTAAATAAAGCATTTCTCCAAAATTTCCCGTTATTTTTCAATGCTTTCTTTTGTCACTTATTCTTAAAACATTAACCCATTAACATACACTTAATCTGAATAAATATGTAATACCACGTGTGAGATATTAATACTCAAAGTTGTAAAATTGCCCACAGGCAACATTGGGCCACAAAGGGTTAAATTAAAATATAGCTCGCAATATTTAAAATAGGGCATATATAACACTGCTCCTATTTCTTAGATCTTTGGTATTAAAAATGGGAAATTTTGATATAGCCTCCATTCAGTTTTTTCTTATTTTTTTATTGAAGGAGAATAACATATTTGCCGAAATTGTACAGTTCGTTATTCTGAAGGGGGTTTTGTTGCATTTTCCAACCAAATTGGTGGTAACTTGACATTTCGGGTTCTTGAAGGGTGAAATATTTGTATGCAGAAAATTATCAATAGGTCCATGTTTTGACATAGTAGCTCTCATATAAATGTCCAGCACCATTTTCGATATTTTCGGATCCAAATTTTTGTGTGAAAATTGGGAAAAATTGCATTTCATGGCTATTGACAGGAAAGATTACAATATATCCAAGAAGACTGGTTGGCCTGGATTTTTATAAAGATATAGCGAGATTTTTGAAAAAATATTTATTTCAGGGCCGTGGTTGTTTAAAAAATAATTTTCAGGGACTACATATAATATCGACGTGGATTAAAAAAAAATATATATATATATATATTTAGAAGGCCTACAAAAGACTGCATTTTTATACCCTCATTATGGATAATGAGGGTGTATACACATTGATACGGTGCCTCATCGAAATATTGGTTTTAGACCCCATGTTTCGTTGGACCAAATCCGACCGACCGTCTGTCTGTCTGGCTGGTGCGCACGATAACTTTCGAAGGGAATAATCGATTTCATCCAAACTTTGCCAATCTTAATATTTCTTCCAAACTTGGTTTAAGTTCGAAAATTGGGAATATCGGTCCATATACGACCATTATCTTTGCCAAGCCTAGATCAGGTTTGAAAATGGGACCCATTGGTCCATCCTTCTGGTACCTGCCCACAAAGGGTCAACATTTTCAATATTTAAAAATGAGACCTATTGGTCCACTCCTTTTGGTACCTCCCCCACAGAAGGTCAAAATTTTTAATATTTATAAATCCAATGTAAGGCGAATGGAATGTCCAATTCGAACCAAACTTTGAACAACTTATTATCTTTACCAATAATATATCAAGTTGAAGGATGGGACTCATTGGTCCACTCCTTCAGGTATCTCCTGAAGGAGAAGGATGAAATCTAAAAAATTACATTTTTTTGGCAAAGTCATGAGCTTTTTAATAAAGAGAAGAGGGCAAAAATGTGTACATTACTAATTTGTGTATACAGTCCAAATTATTTAAATCGCTTCGTATTCGAATTGTACGAATTCTGCCATTAGAATTATTTCTGATTCTTGTAAAAAAGAACACAGAGAATAATTTAAAATGACTCTTAGGTCGATTTTGCCTTTGATTTTCTTGATATTGGACTTTTGTTGTTCACAAATAATGTACTGTATCCCCCGAATGCAAAGATGTAGCGATGCCAAATTTTGTTCATATCCTATTTAGGGTAGTTGCATTGAATCTGTGAACAGAAAATTTGTTCTATGATTGCGGAAAAAATTCGGGGCCCCAAGGGTTAATAAATGTTTCTTCTCGGGAATCATGTGGATTTAAAAAAAAATATCAAGGATCACAAATGTGAGTGGGTTTTTAAAATATATATTTTCAGGAACCACACATTGACATGGATCTTTCAAAATATTTTTAAGCAACTCCACATCGGAATGTTTTTTAATATATTTTCAAGAACCAAAGAAAAATGTTTTGATTGTCATCGTTTTAAAAGCTGCACAATGTAATCGAATTGTTTCTCTAT